CCCCCCCCCCCCAACGCTGCACCATAGCACCAACCCCCCACTAGTGATGACGTACCATTACAATGTATCGCTGGTTGGTGGCCATGTTTGCGTGTTTGCTTGTCGTTAGTGGTCGGTCCACCGTGTGCCTTTTTCTGGCTCTTATTTCTTGTTATTTTCGGCCTGGTCCCTTTTTGTCCTCGCTCTATATATTTCATTTTCTCTTTCCTTACTGTTTCCTTGTATTTTCTTCTCTTTTTCTCTTTTTCCCTTTTTCTCTCTTTTTCTGTGCCAGATGGCCTTGTCTCTGCTTGCGTTGAGAAGTACCAAGATTGAACGAAGCAGTTGTACCTCATTCTCTCCGGCCCGTGATGGTGACTCCTAGTCTCAGTTGTTACCTCGCATAGCGCGCAGAGCGAGTGGAGGACTCCAGAATATATGGCGTTGATTTCTATTGACTTGCGGACCCCTCGGGGCCGTTTGATTTGAGTGTACCTTTTCAGGGTAAGTTAGCCTGCGACCACGGGAATCGACCGCATCGAGTGTTGTATCAGTACAGACATACGAAGGTACTGAGTAGAGAGATATCGGAACGGTTTTTATTGAAGACAACAACAACAACAACAACAATTCCTTGAGTCAGACGGCTTCACTTATTGTCCGTTGCTTTCGGTCTCATGAACAAGGCAACCATTTTTCCTGATTGTGATACGTGGTAACACGCCAACTTTATCGTGAAGAGGGACTTGGTACGGACCGTCAGACGATTCAATAGTCAGTATCCGTTCGTTCCAGTATCAGTATCAAGCCCACGGTTTGACTGTGTATCACCCGACCGGCCTGGATGCGGCATTCCGATTTGCTCATTACGCTGCTGTCGGTTCAAATTTGGTTTCAAATGGAACGATAGACATACTGACCCTGAACATTTTGGGAATGACTTGATATTCCGTACCACGTGGCAGCGTTTACGTTGATGTGACACTCAGCATGCTTTGCCGTGCACCGTAGCTCGTTGTCGGATGGGTTGGTGTTGGTACCACACTATCAATAGAGGCGCCTCACCTTTATGCTACACTTCTCCACCACTGAGGAATTGTGGCTCACAGGAAAAGCGCAATCGGGGTATTTTGCCATACTTTGGTTTCTGGCGTCACATGTACAAACAATAACCTTGCCGAATGTTTGAGGTCCATGGCGTCGGTAGGTCGCGTGGCCAACGAGCCGCTAGTTGTGCATGTTAATAAAATAGGCTGCGCCAAACGATGCTATTGTAACGGTTTGGGCGCATTTACTGCCGTCAGCACGTTGCTAGGCCTACAGACAATTCCGATAACAGGTACCTGTACTTTTGTAATAAGTACAACGCCGCGCAACCCGGGGCCTTTGCCTAACCCTCACAATTTTCCGTTTTCGTCCGACCGGAGCGTTTGGGCTATTTCGTTGGGTTAGAAAGAACATACATCGAGTCGGAGGATTTGGATCATTATTCTGAAGCCCTCCATCAAACATGACTCGTTCTCGGGACAACTATCTATGTATATACCGTATAGTCTACCGTACTTGCAAAATATTTGTCAATAAGTATCTGCGTCTTGGTCGTCTGTTTCGGACGAGACAGAACAAACACAGCTGTAGTCACAACGGTTGACAAAATAGATAGGTCGTGTAGTCTCTCAACAAGTATGTCGCCACCGATGCTTCCACCAGTGATCGCTGCGGCGCGCCAGGTATGGCGTACCCGTTTCCTTTGATTGGCACCCTGAACTCTTTGCTGTCGTGATTAAATTTTGGCCGTTTGCCAGGAAACCATACACGTGCCTCCCGGGGGTACTCGGGCTACAGCAGTGGCGACGCCACCGTGTCGGCGCCACACAAGTACAACTTTTGACGACCCATACATACATACCTACTACGACTTCAAGACACTGCAACCAAGACAATGCGATGGGTGAGCGCTCCATGTCCAACCTGGCTAACAATCCCTTTCTCCTAATGTCCCCGACATGACGTCACTTCCGGTTGGACTCCCTAGTGGATGACGTTTCCTGCGCGCGATGTCGCACATATGTAGGCAGCACTTCCGCATATTCTATACGCAAAGTACAATGACTGTTATAGATTCAGGTCCGCTGCGAATGACGTAATTCCTATTATTTTCTCAGAAGATTACGCCCAGTGGACGAATCCACACAACATTCGATCAAGTGTTGTCGGCGTCCGCTCCGTGTTGCCACCAATGAACGCTAATCCTAACGCCTTCTGCCCAGCGCTCCAGACCTTGAACACCTTTGTCGCACGTTCGTTCCAGATGATGTTCGCCTTCGCCATATCCTCCTTAATAAGGCCCGCGGGGGGACGCTGCACCGAGTCGATTGTAGAGATTACGGGCGGCTAAGATATTGTGTGAATTATTCCGTTGAACAACCTCAAGTACGATGTGTTCGGAACGTCACAGCCTACGAAAAGACGTCAACGAAATGCTGCAGTCACCACCAGCGTCTACCTCGCACACCACGTCTATGGTGACAACGAATTCATGGCGTTCGTTCCTCACAAGCTCTCAGCTCCTTGCTTAGGGTTAGCACTCCCGGTCATGCCCAAGAAGATGAGGTCGGTCCAAAAACGCGCCAACGCCTCCGCCCCGAACTTTGAATGTGATTCCTCGTATTCTTATCCCTTTTCGAAGAAGGGTTCCTTGAGCAATATCACCCTGTGGTGGACAGTTGTAAAGATGATCAGTTCTAAGTCACAAATACTAGGGTTAGCAAAACCCCGACATTTCAGTCTAAAACACTTAACAATTTCGCCCAGGCAGGGTGTGAAAGTGTCGAAGGATGACATTATTTACGCAGAATTCTCGGGGCCCTCATCGCATTGAGGAAATAGGGTGTGCGTTTGTTACCAAGCGGAGTAGACGAACCAGTGTAACGTCTAGTAGCGTAAGCAATAGCAGAAGTGTTTATGACGCGAATATATCGATTGCAGTAGACTTTGAGCTTTTTGTTTTTCCGTTTTATGTGTTGCTGCCTTTACTAATCCAGCAAATACGACTACTAAAAAAAATACGACTTGTCAGCGCGTGAAAAATCTCGATAAGTGGAGGGTAGATTGCCATTGCAGCAGTAGGGTGCACCTTTTTCCCGCGCCTGTTCAACATATGGCTGGGTTGTAGAACATCGCCGTGCAGAATGAATCACACAAGGTATTATTGATTGATCCGTGACTACATGAAATAATCATGCTACTCAGTATATACAGTCGATCCCGCTTTAAAGACACACCACGTTTTCCCCTCAAAAAAGTGTCATTAACGCGGCGAAGTGTTTTTAAAAATCCGGGGACACTAACGCACCATCCCCGGGGCCAATGAGGGCGAAAAATATGTCAAAAGGTGCGCATTCGAGGCAGAAAAGCGAGGTGTTGTTTGAAACCTACGACACAAGGTGATTTGAACATCGCAACCGCTGCTGCTATTGTGCTGCAATACATACTTGCATACCATCGTTTGAATTTCCCCGTACTGTGCCACCAAAACGCTGAAAGCGATGGTGTTCTACGACCTACGCACCGTACATGTATACGACGGCAGTGCGCTGGTGTTGATATGGGCTTAATTATTTGCTTTATTTTGTTTTTTAGGCGTTACGTTGTCCTCACCCTGAATATCTTGCCCAAGATCTCGCTACCGCACATGAGAAATATCGAAGGTTGTAAAACGAGACTAGGAAAATGTAGGTTAGGCAGAAACACAGAGACCAAAATTGTCGGGAAAGCACAGAGACAGAGGACTCCGCACCTCCCAAAAGGTCAAAACGAGGCACAACACAACACAAACGCCAAATTCAACCTCACGCGACTTCACCCAAGGCAAACAACGAACGTTGACAATAGAGGTGCTTTGCTCTCGAAACCATTTTCTGGGGGGGTCGAATGGTGGAAGACCCTACCCCCCCCTAGTTTTTCACATCTGCGGGGCGCCATTTTTCTGAGAATT